AATTGTATTGTTAAATTCGAAAAGAAATTATTAGTATCCTACTAGGAATCGCTGAAAAGAATAAAATTATTTACCGCTAATTTGCTACCAAAATTGAAACGCTATATTTTAATTTAATTAAAGCTAATATAGATATTCAATATATTTATTAAACCATAGAAATTATTATTATTAAAACAATCCTATTTATAATAAAAATTAGCGCTTTGTAATTAACCGTGCTTTACTTCGGGCTATAACGTAAGGTTATTTCTAAATCCTTACTAATATATTTACTAAAAAAATAGGTATTATTATACGTTAAAATTAAGGATAATTAAATTCATATTTTAAATAACGGCGGCAATCTATTTAGAATCTCCGGAGCCGAAGTCCGCTTCGGCGAATTATTTATTACCATCGGTAAAAGTAATTTTACTAACTAGGAATTGGATTATCCCATCGATAGCGTAGAATAATATGATATGATTTTATATATTTACTAATAGAATGCTGAGATTTAAATTTAATATTACCTTTAAATAGATAGATCGGAAGGAGGGTAATATAGTAAAGTTTTTCCTCTTTTTATATATATAGTATTTAAATTCTATATCGAAACGATAAGGATCAACTTAGGGATCATTATAAGAGGCCAAAATTAATTTAAGGCAAATTTACCTCTCGCCCAACTTAATGTAAATTAAGTCGAGGCAAGCTCGTATAATTATTATAACCCGACCCTATTTAAATTAAAGTAAGCTCGCCTATCTTTAATCGGGCAAATTAGGAACGACTTACGGCTACTATATATATTAGTTCAACCTGATTTATACAGGAATTAAGTTGGGATTTTACTCAGATTATTAATAAATTGATTACAATCATCACATCAAAGTCCAACTTAATCGTGACGCTTTGGGCTTCTTACATCGAGCCTATAGGGATCCGGCTTGGCAAAGCCAAGCCAATATCCTGGGCGCTAGCCCTATAATAGTAACCGAGGTTCGACGAGTATTAGAAGAGGGTATTTTGAATTTAAACCTTTATATCGAATAATTTAATAATAAATAAAAGCGTCGAAGGGGGAGACTACTATTTACTAGCGCGCTTATTAAGGGACTACAATAACTACATTCTTACTCGTTCGTAAGGACAGCGGATTAATAACAATTAAAATTTAGTAAAGGGAATTATACTCCTATCGGGAATAATTATTCGAAATGGATTTCTTGGACTTAAAAGCATTTTAACTAGGGATTCTAATTAAGTCCCGTCAATACTAATTAGTTTAATCGACTGGGCTAAGGGTCTAACTTATATAGGCGAATATACGACGTACGGCGAGCGGGCGAAATATATTAATAAATACTACGAAGTCGAGGATACTATACGAAATAATAACAAAGACGACAAATAATCAGTACAAACAATTACTTAACACTAAGGGAAGGTCTCGCAATAACTTCATTCAATTGTACAAAACTAACGATTGCTAACAGAGGGCGCGCAACGACAGTAGCAATTGGGCAGCAATATACTGGCACGGCGCGCCTCTAGCGGCTGGACGGCTGGGCGAGTGCACGTGCAAGAATATATAGGGCGGATCTAAAGGAATACTTTTTCTGGTCTACGGGAATACCGATTTCGCTTTTTCAAAAGCTTCGAAAAGGCCCCACATCCCGCTCCAAGCTGCAGCCCCAAACCTGAGCTGAGCAGAAGCCCCTGCGTGCACTGGAAGCCACACATGTCCACTTGTCAGCCGCACTGGACCCTTGACTTCGTCGATCATCCATCCCACGTGCGAAACACCACACTCCCCGTTCCCGTCTTCGGAAGTATGATAGCTCGGTGGGTTGCACCAGAAGTACGAATACTTTTGCGTCATGATGGATTGTGTCGTATGTGAGCAACAAGACCGTTGTTAGCACCTCGATCCGAAACACAATCTGCTGCTGTTCAAGGGCAGGCGTAACTAGAACAGATGAACACAAGGTTAAAATATTTCCCTTTCGAGTCTGTGTAATACCAGCGTTCCCCGGGGAAGCAAAAAGTCTAAGGTAGCTTATAAAGTTAAAGTGCCCCTGTTAACCCACACCGGACGCCACCCTTAGAGCCCCTAACCCATGGATCCTCACTGCCGCTGCCTTCCTCCTCTCCGTCCACCATGAGTCTCCCACTTAGAAAACCAACAGCTTGAAATGTATCCTCAGAAACCAATATGTAAGTAGAAATTGCAAGATGATGAACGTACAACCCAAGAGAAGCCGCTCAAAAGTAAGCAAACCAAAACCTGTCTGGAAACTCCATGCTGTGTAGGCCGTCTCCGGTAAAACAGCCATCTTCCTTTTGTCCCGCCCCTCCGAAGAACCCAACAAAAGAAACCCATATCTATAATTCTGCTTCGAAAATGAAGAAAGGCAACGGAAAATGCGCAAACAGTAATGGTCGTCAATCGTTCCTTTTGCAAATGGCTGCAACGACGCTGATATCGTCTGGCTTGCCTGTCCGAGTTTCCCATATTAGTTACCTCGGACGAGTTTGTAGAGTAAGGGAGGGTTTGGACTTACCGCCTTCACTGGCAAGACCTTCTTCAATAGCATGTTCCATAAATGGACTCTCCGCGTACGGATCCAGAGCAATGGCTTTTGCCGCTTCCATCAATTCCTCCGCCACGAATCCCATCATGCCAGCATCATTGTCCAGCACGGTCCCCCGTAGAGCGCTCTTGCTCACTTTCACTTCACCTGCCCGCCATTTCTCTATGCATTCACAGACCTTCTCCGAGATCTCATGCGACCAAAGGTTGTCGATAACACCATCCGACATGGCTAGTACGACATCTCCCTCCTGTATTGGTACCTCGTCCACCACCGCAATCGTACGGGGGGTATCTGGACTGTTGGTGCCCAGCTGACGCGGACAATCGAACCAATGCCACTGCTCGGTCGACTTGTAGACGATTTCGCGTGTCGGCGGCCGCACAACCATCACCTGCGAGTCGCCAAGGTTGGTGACGTAAAGGAGCGGCTCCACATCACTTGGTCCGCTGTTGTCCAGTTTCTCAGTCTCCCCCTGCTCTTTAGCGTGGCCAGCGCTATCGGCGCTCTGATAAGATGACCGATCCCCATCTGTCAGGTTCGTGGCACCTCCACTTGCGGAACCCTTGTCAGACTCAGCAGCATCCTGACCGGGTTCTCCCAGCTTGCGACGGTAATGCAGCTGTGCGCCCGCGACCGTCGTCGTGCCTTGCCAGTCGTTCGGTGATGCCGTCGCTTCCATTGTTTGTTCGTACGCTTGCTGCAGATATGCGATCGGGTCCGGACGGTAGGCGTCGCCTTGTCGTACGGCGTCCTCGAACACGGCGCTGGCCCAAAAGTGCAATATCAGTCGGGACCAGAGGCTGTATGCGCAACCGGGTCCATGTCGGTTAGCAATCTGTAAGTGACTCTTCCAACCCCGGACGACGGGGACGGCAAGTGACGTAAAAGAATTCCCAGCACTGCAACGGGGGAAAAGGGCCGAAAGAAAAGTTTGACAAAGAGGAAGAGGGCAGGATTCGAGGGATAGAACTCACCCAGCATGCCCTCGGGGTCGTGTACTCCATGCGCCCACGCCGTCGTTCGCGCAGACAAAGTATTTGCTAGCAAATACAGCATCGTCGCCATTGGTATAACCTCGTATCAGCTTTCCGTTGACATAAGCGGTGCGACGATCTCGGCTGCGATCGTGTGTACTGAGAGGGTCGCTGAAAGAACCGGAAGGTGGCGAGAGAAATGGTGGTGGGAAAGGACGTGGCGGTCGCTTTGCGTATAGACCAATGCCTGTGTCGAAGCGGAAGGGAAGCTTAGGGAGCTCTTCCTCGGTGATTCCGTCCTCGTGGAGTCCAACAGGTGACTGCTCGTCATGGCCAGGTTCTTCAAGATCAGGAAGTGTTGTAGTTGGCGCCGTAGAGGATTCCTGGGCGATCGTGGGAGAGGGACTGGCGCGGGTTGTGTCATTGTCGGCGGGACGAAGCGACACCGGCCCCGTAAAGAAGCCGGCACGCTGTTGTTGCCATTGAGGGTGGCATTGCCATTCCGCAATGACTCGTAGTCGTGATCCCCCTCTTAGGTTCTGAAGGCTGGGTTTGGCGATAGAAGACGATAGTAAGACGGGCACAGCGCCCCGCGGGCTTGCGTGTGGTATCGAGGCCAGCAGTCGGGGAGGTAGTCTCCTCATTCCAGTGGCGCGCGATCGAACTGATTTATGGTGATGCTGAGGAGCAGCATCCGAGGAGAGAGGAAGAGACCCTGAGGAGGGGTGAGAATGGACGGGAGGAAAAAGAAGGGCTCCCAGCAAAGTGCGCACGGCGTTGATTCTGTGTCAAGGAAGACTCCTGACCTGACAAGCAGAAAGACGACCGAAAAGATGAAGGGAAAAGAGCGGCTGGGCCAGAAGGCATGGAAACTTCAGGTTGGTGAGGACTGGTGGTTCCCAGATTTCTTGCCCTTTTGGGGCGCCTGGACTGCAACAGTACAGGGGAGCCTTATCTTATCGCACATAAAGCCCCCCTCACCTCCTGCGCTACTGCGTGAGCATATGTACGAGTAGCTATGTAAAAGCCTACTAAGATTCTCACCATGCTAATAATATATTCACCGGAACATCGGGAATCTTTCCAGGGGTTCCAAGGTAGTCATAATCCAAATCTGTACGTGGGCCGTCGCCGTGTACCGCGTAGCATGTAGGTACGAGCGGATCGTTTCTGACGGGAGACCCCACTGTTAACGTTACCTGGTGCAGTTGGTGATGCTCAATAAGGAGGGGCCTATAAGTCCGGCTTCATACGAGATGGAATCCCCATTTTTTGCACCTGGGATCGGGAACGCCCGTTAACCTGACTCGCCTGATCTACATTAGACGAAAGGCATATTCACGACTTCTCCCGACTCAAATTTCGACATTTGGATACTTCCAATTCCCGGATGGTGGACGCGCCTTGTGGGATCCAAAAGTCTAAGATTGAGTTCCCTTGATCACCCCCAACAAGATGACAAGAGACTATCCAAACACGGGCAGCTTGCGATGCTCCGAGGCTTCCTGATGACACTAACCCAAAACTCCCCAAAAAGCCAGTTGGAACAGAGACAGCGTATGACAGATAACAAGAACAAATTACTAATGTATTCAACACAGATTTATCAACGGTTTTAACCCCACCCTAACCAACACGCCATGACTTATGCAAATCTGACAACGATACCAACTGCCGAGGATTTCCCCAACCTGTAAATAAACCAGTGACTTATACAATCCCCATGCCATCTATCACTATCCAAAAACCCCATGCGCATACTGGCAATAGCCATTCAAAACAACCTTACGCCAAACAATGCACCGAAAAACATTCAACTTCGAACAAGTACTCGCCTCCGTTTGTTTCTGAACCCAGATATAATTTGATCCGTCTCGCCCAAAGCCTCAACTGTCCTCCAGGCCTCAAAGGTCTGACCCTAGTATTGCATGCGACCTGGTGTTGCCGGCCTGCCGGGCATTCCGCCTGGTGCATATTGACCATTCGATGTCGACCGAAGCATAGAAAATTGAGCCTGGCTGATTTGACCACCAACATTGTAGCTTGAAGGAGACTGAAGAGGGTGCGATCCATGTGGCGTATCCATGGGAGGACTTGCCCACACGGCGCTGCCTGCTCCGTATCCTGCGGCAGTGGGGTCACCGAGGGCATATGAGCTGTGCTGCGCCAGGAGCTGGGAGCGAGGTCTAGGCTGTCGGGATCCGTAACCAGTGTTGGGCTGTAGAGGCTGACTACGCCCCGTATGATTCATGTGCCCGTTATCCAAACCACTCATACCGAATCCGTAGACAGAAGCAGCACCGTTGCTCACCACTCCTGGGTTGAAATGCCCAGAAACACGATGTGCCTGCTTTTGGGCGTATGCAGCCTGCGCTGCCCGTTGTGCTTGTTGGGTTTGCTCTCGTTGTCTTTGGTCAATGGCGTGCGCAACAGCTTGACCACTTACTCCTTGCCTCATCTGCGCTCTTTCTCTTTCTCTATGTTGTATGGCACCCACGAGGCCGGCTTTCGGTTGGTGATCATTCTTGTTCCCAGCCATCGCAATCAATGGAGTTCCAGTGACCCGAGCGACATATTCTTGCTCACGAGCAGAGAGATGAGACGAGACCTCAGCGCCCGACAGAATGGCTACCGGTCCACGACTTGCCGGGCGCCCCGGTGTAAGCAGTTCGGCAGGGCCACGACTTGCTGGACGTCCCGATGAAAGTAGTTCGGCAGGGCCACGACTTGCCGGGCGTCCTGACGAAAGTAGTTCGGCTGAATTGTGCCTCGAGTGGCTACCGCCGTGGGCACCGGGTCGTCTTAAGGGAGATGAAGGGGTTGCTGCTCTGAAGTCGGTGACTGTTTGAGACGACGGGCTACGTTGATGTACAAAAACGGGAGTGGAAGGAGCAGCCGCGCGTTGTTGAACAAACTGTTCGGGAGAAACAGCATTGTGGGCTGCAGTAGCCTTCAGACCAGAACCAGGCTGCCACGGAACAGTTCTACGGATAGTATCATCCGAGTCTTGCCGGAAGTGAGCATACGAAGCACCAGGCCCCGGTGACTTTCTGCCGGTATTGGGAGAAAAGGACCGGTTTGGCTGTGCGCTGGATCCCGTGGGCTTGGCGGAAGAAGTTTTCATGGCCGAATAGTTGAAAGTCGGTCCAAAATTGATGTCAATCCCAAGGTCAGTCTTCCCACCGCTGCTGCCATTTCCGTCATCTGGAGAAACGGAGCTATCACCAACGACTTTCAAAACTCCAGCACGTGGCCGTTCTCGGTCTGCCGATTCCTGTGTGTCCGTGGATCTGTGGGTGCTTGCGTAGTCCGGGCTCGCTGTAGATGCGGCGTCAATGGAACGGCTGTCCGAATAACTTCGCATGCTGTCTTGCCGTTCAAGCATAGTTAACCACAGATTGGCGTCTTCAATCTGCTGGTCAAAGCCTCCGGCACCGCGCCCCGACCGAACGGGCAGTGACGAGACAGAGTCTTCAGATAAGCGACGGAGGACTGGCGATCCTGGAGGGAGAGGTTTCCTAGTTACCGGTGGGGATCTTCCTGGCATATTAGATGGCGGTGGTCCTTGGCTATGGGGTGGGGTACGTCGGCCGTCAGTTGTTGATCCTTGGTAACTCGTCATCGGGGGAGTGGCACGGCCGCTGGCTGGACTATCGGAAAAACGAGTAAGGGAAGCCGTGGAGGGGTTTTGAGGCGATGTAAGCCCTGGGGAGGGACCGGAGGGCCCGTTGTTCGTCGGCGAAGGCGATGTTAGAGCTTCACGAGTTCCAATAAGATTAGCATTCATCCTCATGGGTTTGACGCTGGCTTGTGGCTGTACCGCTGGTTGCCCTTGTGATTGGCCTCTGCCTTGTTCAGGGTATCTGTTAGATTCGTTTTGGACCGCATCCGAAGGCAAACCGCCTGCTGTGGCTATCTGCGATAAAGTCGTGTTTGACAAACGATTATGTGCTCTGCGCATCTCGGGTGAGTGGTACGGTTGTTGTTGCGGTCGAGAGCCTGCACCATGCGCGAAGGCTGGTGGGGCGTTGACCGGCTCTGGTGTCGGCATCCGTTGAATCTCCTGGAGGTCGTTGGTTAACTGGCTCCTCAGTGGGCTTTCATCCTCTGAGCTGACTCTCTCGGGAGTAGACGCCAAATCGCTAGCAAAAGTCCTGGCACGCTCGGGGCCTCGCATATTGGGCTGCGGGGCTCCGGGACCATCCAATCCATGGGCAGATGCGGCGTTAGCAAGTTGTGTATCAGAAATGTTGCGGGAATGGCGAGCATGTCCAGCCATTGTCGATGGTACGGGCTCCCGACTGGGGTCCGGCGGCGCCGAGTCCGTCCTCTGGGCGGGCCTGGACAGTGAGAGAGACCGAGATGATCTGACGGAACCGCCCTCCTCCGCAAAACCTACACGTGGCTTAGAAGAGGACGCTGGATTCTGGCCAAAGCTTAACCGCTTGCTGCTGCGACTCGCGCTTCGACTGTGACTAGGCGCATCTTCGACGGCATTCATACGCTGTCCTGTCAGTTCCTTCATTTTCTTCTTCCACTGTTGCTCGGTCCACGCCGAGCTCCCGTCAGTCAGAATCAGACCGCTAACATCGAGAAGTTCCAGATACCCGTATCGCTTGTGCTTAGGCATGGCAAACATCAAAGAGCGCGGGTCAAGCACGCTAGCGACTAGGCGGCCAGGGCGGCCGTATAGTGCAAAAGTATCCCAGGTAGGAAACAAGAACCGGAGTAGCATCTCGAAACCGGAGACCGCGGGGTGGACCTCAGGCATGATGAAGACGAAGCCTTCTGTCGATGATGGCGGTTCCGAGTGGATGGTGATGCTTCCCTCAATCTTAACGAGTGACGACCCATCGATCAACGCCTTTGCCTGTGGGTAAATGGCATACGCTGCATAGGCGTCGGTGATGGATGCAATGGGTTTCGAGTGCTTCTTCTTTTTTTCTGCGTCCTTTCTCGAGTCGTAGAACTTGATTTGGCCCTTCAATACTGGACCGTGAGAGCGATCATAAGGGGAGCGCTTCTTGAACTCCTTCTGGGCCTTGAGGACTTCTTTCTCGCTTGGAGGCTCGATGACACACCAGCAGCGTCTCCAAGGGACGCCAGCTCCAAATCTGACCCGCACCCATTCTTGGACGGGTGTTCTCGCTCGTTCCATGATGACGCCGATGTTGTTTAGGGTTTTCCCCTTTCCAGCAATCAGGGCCCCCGTATAAGCCTCCTGGAGGGTTGATTGCTCAAAGATGGCCAATCGTATGCCGGACGTCCATTGGATCAAGGAATGATGCGAGTTGAAATGAAGCAGGTATCGGTTCCTCCCAGCAGTGCTGATGCTGAGAATGTTCTGGAGGGGCTGTTCGTCGCTTGATCTTGTCGGAAGTGATTCGATCTACATACTTGGTTAGGATGACAGTACGGCCGGGGCGCATCAGCAAAACTCTACATACCATTTTGATGGAAGCGTCTGTGAGGTTGATGAACTTGGGGAGGACTTCACCGTCTTCTCCGGCGGCATCAAGCTCGGCAGCATCCCAGAGAGACAGAACTGTGCCCACCAATTGGGCAAAGCACTCTGTCCATGTTCGGTCCGGATTCGGTCTCCCCTCTGATCGGGGTTAGCTGGAATTAGACAGAGTATGGAGCGAAGGTGAAGTAAACGTACTTATATCCTGATCATCCAGCTTCAGGAAGTATCCTTCCTGATACAACTTATTCGCATGACTGCTGAGCAAAGCAAAGATGGGCTGGAGCTCCGGAATGATTTCCTCGTTGCTTTCCATGAGGGGCCGCTGTGAGGGCAATACCATAGACAAGGGTCGTGAATTGCTCCGTTGTCTCCCCGTAGGACTTTGTGTGAATGGGTCGTTTTTATCAAAGGTAGGCGAAGGTCTATCGGGTGAGCGCTCGCCGGAATCTCGAAGTTGAGGTGGTGATGGAGCGAGAGTTGGGAGGGAAACGCTCGGAGAATCCGGTTTGGGGTGAAGGTCGTCACGGACACGGAGATCCTTAGGGGGTGACGGT